CGTAACTCGTTGGGGTATCTCCGAACCCCAAGCGACGGGCGATGGACCATGGGAGGCCCTCGTTCCCAGGCGCCTCTTCTCTTTCTTCTTTTTTTCCCCCGCCAGGACCATGTCAAGTTGCTACCGTACCTCAGGCCAAAGCCATCTTGAGTCGGCTCCGTCTCGTTCGGCAGATCCACATCCACCCCTACCCATGACCAGCGAGTGACCGTCAAGTGTACCATGTATCCCCCCCCCCTGGTCACCGTTCCGCCCGCCACGAAAGGCCCGGCTGGGATCGATTTGTCCGAGATTCTCCTACCTTCAAGCTCCATCAAGTGGAACTCGATACTTCATGACCATGCCCATGTGGATGATGTGACGCCTAGTCTGTTCGTCTTCGTTCGCTCTGCGCTGGAACTAGCAGCCACTGCCGTGTTTCTGTTTTCTGTTTTCTGTTTCTGGTTGACGCTCCTGCTCTTTCCTCCTTCCTACTCCTGGCCCCTCCAAACGTGCCCTGTCTATCCTTCCTCCTCCTGCTGCTGCTGCTGCTGCTGCCGGCGCTACTCTTCTTCTTCTACATCCACTCCCCCCTCCTTTCTCCCCTCGTTTCTCTTCACAGGCATACAAACGATCCCTCCAACCGCAGAGGAATGTTGATCCCAGAACACGCGACAAGGACCACTCGCACTCATAATACGGACCCTCCACCCACCAACTAGCTGCCGTCGTTGCTCTGCTTCGCTTTGATCTCTCCTCCAGCCCACCTAGAGTCTTACATTTGCGTCCCGTCCCAGACGAAGGACTTCTCTGAGAGGCCATCGCACCTTCTTGGCATCCCCTCGTCACTTCCCAACTTCGTCACCACACGCTTCTTTCTCCAGGCACAGACGACACCACGAGCTGGACAGAGACAACCTCGCACGCGCCCTGGCCCCGTCCCGCATTCCACGCAGACGAAACGTAGCGTGCAACCACCCTCGAGCGAGTCCAACGGGTAGCCAGTTACCCCAGCGGTGAAAGGAAACCGAGGTCTCCAGCCAAAGCGAATGGCCTGCGCCTCTTCGATTTGACTCTTCGAGGCAAACTTCTAGAAAGAAGACAAGGCTGCCGAGGGTCTTCTTAAAGGCTTCTCCCAGCCCGCTCTCGATCAGGTGGTGAGGAGCTCCGTGCTATCATCACCTTTGTGCGGCCTTTTCGCTTGCACTGTATCATGTACGCCTCATCGACATCCGAGGGACCCGCGCCCACGGCAGAAAAGAAAAGGATGCCCTACGACTCAGCGACGAGGCTAGAGAGCGCCGACGGCTCGATTTGCGGCATCAGGCGGAAGCTCTTCTGGGCATGGATTGCTGGTGGGATATTGATCATCCTGCTGGCCGTGGGTGTTGGCGTGGGTGCTGGCTTCGCACTGAACCGGCCCCATCATGACGATCCATGATGCCTCGCTCGTCTTTCCCGGAAACATTGATCAGTTCGGCAAGGGCTAGGGGAAGAGGTTCTCGTCATCTGCCTTGCTCCCCGGCCTCCCGGCCATTTGTCTGTTCAGCAGAACCAGAAACGAGAAATCTCCTGGTCTTGACATGATCCATCTACGAGTACGACAGCACCACCACACTACCAAGACTTGATCGATATCGACGACATTGTGTTTTTCCTATGACAGCGCAAACAAACCATTTTCTTACCGATGGATGGGCCGATACATGAGAGCGCCCATACACTGGATGGATATCATGCCAAACAGCTCCCGCGGGAACTCTCACACGGCACCATCAACAACTCAGCACCAAGGACACGGCGCAAAGGCGTACTTTATTCAAGCGAGGGCATATCCGGCGTTTGGACTTTTCAGGTCCTCCCAAGGGATGGACCCCCTAACAGGACATTTACTCATTATTTTGAACGGGGAAGCTCTGTCTTCCGTAGCTGGAAACCAGGCAGGCGGGCGGGCGGGCAAGGAAGCATGGACAGCTCGGCACATTACGGGCGATGGGGGCTACGGCTTCCCGCTCTGGCCAACACCATGGAGCGCGCGCACGGGAGACTGGATTCATCATTACAGGCAAAGGGAGGGCAAGATTTCTCCTCCCGTGTAACGTTAGAATGGACCTTAAGGCTGCGGATCAGTCCTGGAGGAGCGGAGTATCTTCAAGAAGAACTCCGCAGGACAACAACGACGACTTGAACGAAATTGAAATCATACACTTTCAATCCTGTTTCGCGATGCTGGAGTGAGTGAGCGCCAGGCGGAGCGCCTGAATTGGAAGTCTCCGACCGTCACACGACTTTTCAGATGAAGTCATTTTGACTTTTGCTGACAAGAAGAGCTGACGGGTGACGGGCGACCGCCCAATTCTTCTGATAGCCCGATCTCGCGTCGGAGGGTTCCAAACAGGCCGCCCCCCCCGCTCCCTTCCACGACTGCCGACGACGCTCGCACCCTTTTGCCAAAGCTGCATGGCTGGGGCGATCCGTGACAAACCCGTCATCGCCTCGGAGGCTTCCCGAGGCTACAGGCGACATGAGATGTGACGACGACGCGCGAGCGGAAAAGCCTTCCTGGCCATGGCGTCCCTCTCGCCTGGGAGCAAAGCCAAATGAGGAAGCTCCGCCCAGGTTCCGAAGCTTCGACTCGACCTCGTGGTGCCTCGCGTTCCATCCCATCAGTCATCGTGACGACCCCTGTTTTGTTTTTGGGCTTCGGATCTTTCTGCTTTTGCTCTGCTTGAGATGGGATGGCCCAGGGACGTGGACGGTGCGCCACGCCACAACCGCCCGCGCAGCTTCGCTTCCGCATCAGGCAAAGTCCCCAGCCCGCATGTCGGTCCGACAGGGGGGGGGGCCGCCATCGATAGAAACGGGCAAACGATACTGTGAACGAAAAAGGTCGGACCGTTTCGTGTTCAGTCCACGGCAAGATAGGTAGTGTACTTTTGATGAAGAGCATTATCATTAGGTATCATATTTGTTACTTATTTTCACTTCAGCCTCCCCTCTTTTTTTCTCTCTCTCTCAACTCGCTACCTCTCGCCCGTGCCGCCACCGCCACAGCTTTTCGTGACGCGCCACGCGACGAGACCTCTCCTGCCAATGACCCTCTTGAGTGTGTTCCAGACACCATCCTCACCCCAGTCCAAATCGTCGAGATTCAGGTGCCTATCGTATCGCCACACCTCGCGGAACCGCAGGCCCTCAAGACCCTTGTTCGGCAGATAGGAGTCGAGCCACGTCGCTGACGCAGGCGCGACGAGGTAGGTCCCTTCCTTCTCCTTGAGGTACTCCCGATTCCTGCGGTCCGCGGGCGTGTCACACGTTGCCAGCTCGGCGAGCTGCTTGAGGAGGCTCTCACCGTCAAGGCCCATGACGTCGTGCGTCGTGAGGACCTCGTTCTTGCCGTTCAGCAGCCATATTGGCGGGGAGTACGTCTTCCACCATATGGCGTTTGTGGCGTCGGGCTGCTTGCTCATGAAGACTTGGCCGGGAACGATGCCGCCCTGGTGATAGATGCCCATGAGGACACCGAAGAACACGTTGAATACCACCCAGACGGCGGCCCACAGTTGGAGCGCGCGGCGGTTCTTGGGCAGCTGGACAGATGAGAGGATGAGGGGGACGGTCGGTAGGAGGAAGCGGGCCTCCTGGTGCTGGAAGATGGAGAGGACAAAGATGCCAGAGACGGCCGAGTAAAGACGCAACGAAAGATGGGGTTGCGTGAAGAGCAGCACGGCGGCCGGGCCTAGCAGCTGCGGGATATTAGCGAGAAGATGTTGGTACCACGGATGGAGGCCATGCTGGGCGAGGTTCTCCGGTGCCATGTTATAAAGGAGGTTATTGATCGGCGTGATAACGGGTCGGGAGACGAGATCCGTCCAGGTAATGGGGTCGGTGAGGTAAAAGGCCGTGTCGATGCCGATGGCCAAGCTCGCGGTAGCCAGGCCGGCGAAAGCCATGACGAGGAACGAGGAAGGTCGGTTGTAAAAGTGGGGTACCAGACGGATGCCGGGTATCAGCAAGAAAGCAGGAAAGGTAATTCTGTTGAAGATACCAAACACAGCCATGACACCAAGGACCGTCGAGGCCAGCAGCGACGCCTGTTGCGGACTCTCGACGATGCGCTGGATGAGGACCATGCACCAAGCCACAACGAGCGTCTCGACAGCGTTGGAAAAGGTATGTGTCTGGAAGGTCCAGGTGACGTAGGACGAGGCGACAAGCAGGACGGCGATACGACGATGGCGGGGCGAATGAATCAGCTCATGGATAGCCCAGTCCTCGAGCACGAAGCTCGTCAGGAACATGAGCACGCGCAAAGTCCAGAAGACTGCGATGGGTGGTATCTCTCCATCCTGGCCATTTCCTATCCACAGCCATCGCAAAAGGAGCATCGGTAGGCCATAGACAGGCCATAGAGGGGCGACACTTCGAATCGGGTTCTCGCTCGTAAACTCCCAGGTGTGTCGAACAGGGTAGCTGAATATCTGGCCTGCAAAAGAGCACGTCAGTATGGGGGAAAAAAATCATTTCAGGTAAAAGGCGGCGGCGGGGGAGGGGGGGATTCGCCAAGACCAGCGCATACCTGCAATAACCTCAGGGCCCTGGAAGTTCTCATCAGGGTGGAGGTAACTCGGCGACAAGGCGAACCAGAGGCGGACCAAGACCAGGAAGAGGTATGTCCGGCGCCACATGGTGACAAGAGGTTGGATGTGGGTTGCGCGCGCGCACGTCGGGTGTTGCGGTGGATGTTGCGGCTCCGAGCCGATTAGTAGCGAGTATCCAAGGTTTGCGACAGGCTTCGAGTCGTCTGGGTATCGCAAAGCTGCATGGTCCAGCGGCCAAGGGTGCAGACGAGGGAAGACAAGGGACCGGACGGTGAGCGGGTTGGTCTCGAAGGATAGAGCGAGACTGCAAGGTGGATGGGTAGCGATGACAGATGCAGGAACAACGTGGGCATCAGGAGGAGGCAGCAAGATGCGACAGCGCGTGGGATGGGTTGCTGTTGATTTTTCTGGGTTGGTAATCTCCAGCTCTGAGACCTGGCCCCAGGCACATGGGTCGAGTCTTGTGTCTCCTGGAGCTTATGTTGCGGATGCAGTCGTGCTCGCTCGCCGGGATTGCTTGCCCCTGGTTCCGGGGTGGTAGCAAAATGCTTAGTGCTCTCTTTTTCGGCTTGGCCTTGGGGGGTCCAGCAGGGGTCTCAACGGGCGGGCCAGCGCGACCCGACGCGCCTGAGGGACCTAAGGTGACAGGACAGCCTGGCCAAGACTTCTGAACGCGGCCAGGGCAAGTGCCATGCCAGTGATGCCACAGACCAGTCAGTACCTTACCTGGTACCTAGTAGTGCCAGTACCAGTACCGGTAGCGAGACCGAGCCTGGGTTGGGCGTCGATACTCTTGGCTGATGGTGTGAGCGACAGGGAGGTAGGGGACACTACGCCGGTTCCGGGTAAGGCTGGAAAGCTCCTGGTGGCCGAATGTCGAAAAGTCGAGGCCGTGACCTGCAACTTTGTGATCAGGTGGTTTTGGCGTGGTGGTGGAACGAAGCAGACGATGAGCTGCTCGTGATCATGAGTGAGCCATCTCCATCATATCTACCACGTCGTGCCATCGAAACGGCCACGCTGTTCAATTGAAGGGGGGCTAATATCAGTCGACGGACCTCCGGGGCGGATCTTTCAGCAAATGATTCCGAAGGTCCCGCCCACCCATCCACCACTACGGTGTTCTGACGTTCCGATCGCCATATTGGTGGCGATGGGTGTGATTATCTCATCTCCAGTCACTTTATGCGGCTTTCACTGCTTTCACTGCTTCTACATGCTTCCACTCTCCCATCGTTATCCTTCACACACTACAGGTACCTACATGACGATGACGATTGCGTCCCGCAGCTATGAACGGTGGAATGCAACGGCTGTCAAGTGTTGAGTGAAACTTCTAGTTGGATCCCAACCCCAGGTCCTTCGCATTCCTCGCACGCTCTCTCGAGACATGGAATGTAGTCTTTGAGTGCTTGCGTCTACCCACCCCCGATCAACGTTCAACGATCGAGGGGGGACCACTGAAAATGAACCCGTAGCCTTTGTTCTCGAGTTCCCGTCTGTAATCTGGAGCCGAGCTGCCCTTTCTCGTGGCTCTGAATCAATTAAGGGTCTGCCCCCTCCGATTATCTGGTCTGGCTGGGCTGCGCCTTCTTTGTCCGCAAACGCTTCGTCTACGTGATTTTGCTTGGCCAAGATTCTAGCCAGGGCAGACATCCGCCTCAATCAGATAGGCGAGCAACGATGACTGGGGATTAGACGTGTTTGTTGCCCCCTATCGCGCAGCATCGGTAAAGGATGTGACACTGATGGCTGTGCACCATCTGCCAACGAAAGATGCGAGACAGGAACGCCTTCTCTCGAGCTCTGGAACGCTGCAGGAACCCGCAAACCACTCATTCGATGAGGCCAAAGCCTGAAAGAGGCCAACGGAGAAGACTGGAGCAGATTGGGGCCATGGCGCCTGTGGACGCAGCCCTTGACAGAGCAGGTTTGGCCGGGAGCTCTTCGTAAGGCAGAAGGTGTTAGTAAGATGAATAGGCGCCTCATCCTTGATACTTTAATTGGGAGCTGGAACCTGGTGCTGTAGAGCAGATCCTGGAGTCCGTTAGGGTCAACAGGCAGACACCCACCCTTACATGGTACAGCGCAAGTAGTTGAACCCCACCCGCCACCACTTGTCTGCCTGGAGGGCGGGAGAGGAAGGATCGTGGGGTCCTAGGAGCACTTGCCTAATACAAAAGCTGGACGACAAGGGCAGTGACTGACTTCTTGTGTGAATCACGTTGTGTCGATAGTGTTCCTAGAGTCCGAACTCGGGTTAAAAGGCAAACAAAGCCGCCTTTCTTGCTTTCTCCTTCCACTCCTTCGACCTGCCTTATTGCCACCTAGGTACATAAGCGCCTTCGCCCCCATATTCCGTCAGCACTGCTACTTCAGCAACCGACCCCACCAACCAGTCCATCCGCCTTCAGCCCGCCCGCCCATCAATCCTCCCTCAACCAACCAACCAGTCATTCGGCTACCGCCCGCAAAACCACAACAGCCAACGACATTCAACTGACGCATCATCTATCCCCGACTTGAAGCCATTCCAATTTCACCTCTTGCAAACCCATCAGACATCAAAATGGCCGACTCCAGCGTTCCCCGCGTTTGGGTTCAATCCAATGACAACGCCACCATTGCGATCGACCGCCCCGTCGCCGAGCGTTCCATGCTCATTCGCAACTTGATCGAGGATATCGGTGACGAGGGCATCACCGCTGATACTCCCATTCCCATCCCCAACGTCAGTCTGCTCCCTCCTGTTGCCGTTTTGCCGCCGCTGACCGCCGTTCCAGGTCAACGAGGCCGTTCTTCGCAAGGTCATTGAGTGGTGCGAGCACCACCGCAACGATCCTCCCCAGACCCAGGACGACGATAACGACGCGCGCAAGAAGACCACGGAGATTGAGGAGTGGGACCAGAAGTTCATGCAGGTTGACCAGGAGATGCTCTTCGAGATCATTCTCGTACGTTATTGATCCCTTCCCCCCGCCTGCCTTGCCTCTGCTCGGGCTAACAATCACTCCCCCGCACCAGGCCTCCAACTACCTTGACATCAAGCCCCTTCTCGATGTCGGCTGCAAGACTGTCGCGAACATGATCAAGGGCAAGTCGCCCGAGGAGATCCGCAAGACGTTCAACATTACCAACGACTTCACGCCCGAGGAGGAGGAGCAGATCCGCCGTGAGAACGAGTGGGCCGAGGACCGCTAAAGCGTCGGCGCAGGGCTGCATGTGATGGACGAATACCTTCTCACCCTATGGGCTGACAGGGCAGGGTTCATTTTGCAGTACATGTCTTTGATGCATCATGGTGGCGTTGGGCTCGTTTGCTTTTTAACACCTTTTTGAGTTTTCACGAAGCAGGGTTGATTATTGATGGTCGGTGGCTCGGCTTTCCTGAACTAGGGTCTGGTTGTCCAGATGGACGCATGCCAACCTGCAGCACCACGGCGAGATGCTGATGGTTTATCAATCACAATCAATGACAGGTTATGGATTCATGTGATGCAGTGGATTTCGTGCTCCTTGTGAGACTCATAAGCAGGTTAGTAGCGGCGACACTGCGAACACTCGGCTCGGACATGTAGCCACGCCGAACATCATGCGTTCGGCGCTGGCTGGACTAGTCTCCCAAGAGGTCGTATTCTGAGTCCATATTCATATGACAGTAGACAACTCTGTCAACGAGAAACTCACGTTCAGTGCATCCATTTCTTTGTTCTGTGGCACAACTTGCGACGCGGTATACAGAAGCCATCATGTTCTTGTGCATCGTGTATGAGGCATCCATGTGTGATGGCAGATGGCTTACGCACGCACATTGACCACACTGGCATAAAATCACGGCTCTACATCGCACAGAACATACATGCAGTGGCATCATGATTTTTGCATTCCTTTCCCTACGGTCGTGAGACGCAATACTAAGAGCCTAGCCAGGCCCCATCCGGGTACGACCCCTTTCCCCCCTTCCAGCCAGGAAGGGGGACAATTCCAAGTTTTTGAGAGCAAGGAACCTTGGTCGCCGGTCATCGATAACAAAAAACCATCGCTTTCCTTCCCGAAAAAAATCCCAAAGTAGAGGTTGTGCTGTGCCCCATTGCGGTTTGTTTCCCTTTCCCCGTTCGTGGATAGTAGACCTCGTCGAGCATGGTGTGTGCGTTGAAAATTGTCGAAGGAGCCAGGCGAAGCAGAACGGAGGAACAGGTTCAGTTGCGTGGAACAAGCGGGCGCGCGAGAGGGGATACCGCCCGCGAGTTGAGTGGATGTGGGACAGCCGTGGGAAGATCGTAGGGGAGTTGGGGCGTGGTGTTTAGATGCCGAGCTTGGTCTTGCGCCAGTGCCTTCGCTTGGCGTTGTAGCTGAGTGACTAGTTAGCGAACGTGATCTTCGAGGTTTCGCGGTGCATGTTCTTCTCCCGTGTTTCCCCCCAAGCGATCCTGGGGAAGAAGGAGAGAAATTGGTGATGGCGTACCGGATGGTGTTACCGGTCCTGAGACGAACCCATTGGGGAATGGGACGGTTCTGCTTCTGGGCCTTGGCCAGCTTGACCTTGGTGCGGAACGACTTGTGGCTCTGTGCGAAGGAAAGATCGTCAGTTTACACATGTCCTGGTAATAGGGTTGGTTTGCGCCTCCATGAAGGAGAGGTTCGCCCTCCCGACGTCGTGGATGATTCCCGGCTCCTCCAGCAAATGCAAATCCAGTGTCGGGCAGGGTCCGTATCGCAGTGTTTGGGGCGAACGTACCGGCATCGTGACGGTATTTGGTGTCGATGTCGAGAAAGATGATTCGGGGGCGAGTTCGTTGAGGAGATTTCGGAAGTGGCAGCAAAATTGAATCACGACCTGAGAACGTGTGCAGGGCCGTGGGGCAGAGTACGTAAGCGAGCCCTGGGTCCTCCGTGTCCAGTCGTACGTGGAGGATTTTGTGGCGCTTGGCTTCGCCTGCCTTATCGTTATCAGCACCAGTGGCCCGACTTGCCACTTACCCCTCTAGTTTCATGAGTGGAGCAGACCGCCCCGAGGAGGACCGACTATCGGGGTCAGGCGATCAACGTTTGGCCTAGGCCCAAGGTGCTCCATGCTGCAGTGGTTAGAAATCCTGGAAAGGGGGACAACCCCGGATTAGACTGTTGACCGACGACTACACTGCCTTTCCACCCCTATCACGCGCGCAGCCCAGCGGACCTAATCGACGACTAGTGCGACTTGCTGCCCTCCTCTTTGTACGCGAAACGACGAACAGCCGGCTGATCGATCAAGGTCCAGAGACTCTCGAAACTCAAGGGAACAGAACACCTTTGCGGCAACGAACCTTGGGAGGGCGCATTGTATTGTCGATCCCGATCTGCAACGAAGAGGACAGCGACAACTACGAACAGTCTACCAACTCCTCACCCCACGTCACAACCCCATACACAGTAGCCAAGATGGGCGCCAGCATGTCATGGCTGTCAGGCATGCTCTTCTCGAAGAAGGAGATCAGAATATTGATCCTGGGCTTGGTATGATGAGCTGCCCTCTGCAGTGCGAGCTCTGTGGCCGTCGGGGAACGAAGAAGCTGAGACCGTCAAACAGGATAACGCTGGCAAAACGACACTGCTGTACAGACTGAAGGTTCGTTGTGAGATCGCATGCCGGCGAGGGTTCCTTGGCTTGACCAGTTCCTAGGTTGGCGAAGGGTCGTCATCACCATTCCGACGATAGGCTTCAACGTCGAAGTCCGTCACAAAAGAAGAACTCCAAAATTT